AAAAAAAAAGATGTTTTAAAAACAAAAACGCATCAACAAAACAACGAGCTTTTAGTGTAGTGAAAATGATACGAGCACTGAAATGTCAGAAATACAAGTCCCCAAAGTATTTAACTGGGGAGTATTTTAAGTGCCACTTTTGATTCGCGTCGCCTAAGAATTGCATTATTTAGTATTTTCACCATGAAAAGTTTGAAAGGTTATTTTACAGTTAGAGGTATACTGTTGGTTTCTTCAACTTTTGAATTGCTAGTTTGTTTTCACACATTCACCACAGGTAGGGTCCGTAATTCATCATATTAAGGTCTTCGTATGTTACAACAGTCAGTGTAAATAACTGACCAACAATGATGAATGAAACTGTAACATAGATATGGAAGAACCAGCAATAATTAGAGAGATTTATTTCATTATGGTTAGTTGTTTTTTTTAGCACAAAGATACAGAACAAGCTATACGTATTCTGTCTACCAAGGGAAATCGAACGCCGGATTTTAGCGTTCTAAGTTTGTAAGCTTACTCTTGGGGGGTGGACGTTGTTGTTTATAGTTTTTAGCGCAAAGCTACACAACGGCGGGTTATACGCGCTCTTTCTTTCCACAGCGTTGGAGTTTTACGTTGTAAGTTGGGCGACTTACCGCCAATTCACTGGTGGGGATGTATCTCTGCGACTCATGTTATCAAGGAACCCTTTGGCCGACAAAATGCTAGACCACAAGCAATGTGTCGGATAGATAGTTTTAAGACAAACGTTTACAAAACCGATATGTATGAACCCCCCTTCCTTAACTGTAGGATTAAAGTATTGCATTAATAACACGCGACTTCAGTATGTATCAAATTCACTAAAGACCGAAACGTAAAGATAAAAAGATTTCACGTTACACACTTAAAAGATTTGATGCAGATAAAAGTGACTCCAGGACAAAAACCGATTGGTTTTATTTTATTTATTTATTTTTTGTGTTGTACTGTAGGCCTTGTTTCTAAATAAGTAACACTCGTACACGATATAAGAAACCAGTTATACTCGTGACATGTGGTTAAAAAAAAACAAACAAAAAAAACACAACATCGGTAGTGTATTTTAAAAAAGGTAATTTTCAGATAACCAACTTCAAAAGTCGAATTAAACCCCTCACAAAATGATCCAATAAATATAAATTCTTCTAATTATTAAAAATCCCTAAGGGACTACATTAACAAGGTAGTGTTAAAAATGTATTAGGCCTAGTACTAGTATCTCAAGTATAATTGTAATTGTTCCTGTAAAAAAAAAGCGTACACCCTATACCAATTGTTTTATCAAATGGCTTACATATGTAACTTTCCGACCACTACTGTGCTTGTTGTCTCCCAGCAGGCCTGAAGAATTCTGGATTAAGGCAAACGCATTGTCGACAATGGATATGACAGATATAGCATGGTTGGAATACTATTATCATTGTTATACACTTCTACTTTTTAAAGATCTCCAAAAAACTAGATAAATAAATAACGTAATTTTAAAAAACATAGGAATAAATAACTGACATCATTAGTTACATTAATTGTTAAAAGGTGATTAAATCAATACTTTAAACAATAATGAACTTGATGCAAAATAAGCACTGTCATTGTTGGTCCTAGTTATCAACTTGATGTCATAACTGATATAACAGGACAATATCCAAACGTTGATGATAAACTAGCCAACTATCATGAAAAATCAATTAAGGGTACGGAGCAGAGTGCTTACACCTACAACGTCTCAACTCCTGTTGCCTTTCACTGTCTATAGCCAGTTGTGGGAAGGCGGTTACCCTTAATGTTCTTAAATTAGAAATTAAACCACCCTAAAATTTTGTACTATATATAACTCCCAACCTCCACCCCTTACACAGAAATATTAAACGTAACTAAATTACCTTAAACAGAACTACAAACCTACCTTAATAGTTCTTATATATCCAGCCTTTCTCTTGAAGATTTATACGGGAAGTATAACACGGGAAAGCCGTGACAATCCCAGCTACTTGAAGTTAGTCTTTCCGTCCCGGTATACTGAATAACGTTATATTTTCAAAGTTAGCTACTTCTAAACCAAGAGTAACTAACGGCCTCTAATGTCTCCATAAAGTATTTTACATAATCGATAGTTTATTCTTTTGATATATTCGTATTTATTATAAAAAGTGTAAAGAGTTTATTTAATTGCCAGTCTTTATATCCGTTATTTTTCAGTTTACTTATAATTAATAAAACATTATCCATAACAGAATTACTATGGTTACAGACTATTAAAAACCTTTTTAACTGAGATATAATAATACCTTTTAACATTATACACGGAATAACACTACTGGGGGTGGGTAGACAAAGGATGGGAAAATTAAATTATCTTCTTTTGTCAAAACCAGTCAACAATACTCTGCCCTCTACAAAATTAATATCTAAATCTAAATAATTAGTATGAACATCATTACTATGGTTACAAACTATTAAAAACCTTGTTAACTGAGATATAATAATACCTTTTAACATTATACACGGAATAACACTACTGGGGGTGGGTAGACAAAGGATGGGAAAATTAAATTATCTTATTTTATCAAAACCAGTCAACAGTACTCTGCCCTCTACAAAATTAATATCTAAATCTAAATAATTAGTATGAACATCATTACTATTGCTTCTTTCTGTTACGAGTTATTCCTGATATATTAAGTTTGGAGTAAAATTCAAGTTATTTATGTAAATTAAGTCATCTATGTAACGGAATGTGGAGATGTATAAATTATGTTTTAATACCTGTTTCAGGTTAGTCATGTTTGAAGAGAAAGGAATGTGGAGATGTATAAATTATGTTTTAATACCTGTTTCAGGTTGGTCATGTTTGAAGAGAAATTGACTCCATTCAAATACCCACAGTTTGTTTATATACTTGTTCGTTGAAAGTAATATAACTATTATAAACACAAAAGTATATTTTTACATTGAACTTCACCAAGTCCAGACCAGATTTGTAACATACACAATTATGAACTTCACCAAATCTAGGCCAGATCTGTAACATACACAATTATGAACTTCACCAAGTCCAGACCAGATCTGTAACATACACAATTATGAACTTCGCCAAGTCCAGACCAGATCTGTAACATACACAATTATGAACTTCACCAAATCTAGGACAGATCTGTAACATACACAATTATGAACTTCACCAAATCTAGGCCAGATCTGTAACATACACAATTATGAACTTCACCAAATCTAGGCCAGATCTGTAACATACACAATTACGAACTTCACCAAGACCAGACCAGATCTGTAACATACACAATTATGAACTTCGCCAAGTCCAGACCAGATCTGTAACATACACAATTATGAACTTCACCAAATCTAGGCCAGATCTGTAACATACACAATTATGAACTTCACCAAGTCTAGGCCAGATCTGCTAATGACAAAAACCTTGTTACTATGTTAAACTTGTTACGAAGTTTTCTTGATTGCCCACTCAAAGCTGTCTTCAGACTTTATTGTTTCAAAGTGGGTTCCTCGTCATCAAATCAATTCATTGTGTTAACGAGCAATTCTCAGTTTTTATAGAAAATATTAAACATTTGTTGAAATTCTTTTTTTTTTTTTCGGTATTTGATAAAAGGAAGGTGACGATATACAATTAAGCGATCTTAGACATTTCAAGATGAAAACGACAAAAACAATATCTATCAATCGGGGGTACAAATAATTTTTGAATGTCGAAAATCAACATATTAACCCAAACACATCGTAAATAGAAGTAATAGTCAAAATGTATCGCACTGATTTGTTTGTTTTGTTGATAAGCACAAAGCTACACGATGGGCTACCTCTGTTCCTCCCACCGAAGGTATTGAAACCTGGATTTAAGTGTCATGAGCCCACAGACTTACGGATGAACCACCGGTGGAGGAGGGGAGAGGCGCTACGACACTGAAATTTTAACTAAAACTGATTTTATGGGTTATAACTAAAACCAAATTTTATGGGTTTTAACTGGAGCTATATTTTGTGCATTTTAACTTTAATGGAGTATACATCTTTAATATTATAAATCAAGAGGTGATATTTTAAGAGTTTTGTATTTAATGTTTTTCACCGTTAGGGGTATTATACAATGGGTAATGAGGCTTTTAATCTGGTGATAGGCGTAGTTTGCTCAGAACTTAAAGCTTTACTCTTGCTACAAAATCATTGAAGTAGGATCCGATGTAAAGATGGCCGTTATTTTCAGAAGCCTCAGTAGGGATGGGGATCTTACCATCCGGAGAATGGAGACTTCGGTTTATGTTTCCATTTTCATCCACTTCTATCACTAGGCCATGATGAGATGCCCATTGAAACATGTAATTTAAATGGCGTAACTGTAATAAAGATTCAAATATTAAAAGTTAACAGCTAATAATTAAAAACATGGAAATAGAAGTGTGTTAAAATTATATATATATTCATATATTAACTATTAAACAATGCGTTTATGAATTACAGGCTAGATAATTTTTGTTTTTTAATATTTATGGTTTTTAAAAACACATTTCAGCTAAAATTTCTGGTGTGGACTTTAATTGCACATTGGTGATAAATATCAAATCATTTTGTAGCTTGCTAGTAACAAACTACAAGTAAACATAAAACGACAGTCACATAACAAACTACCAATAAGACAGTCACGTAACAAACTACCAATAAGACAGTCACGTAACAAACTACCAATATGACAGTCACGTAACAAACTACCAATAAGACAGTCACGTAACAAACTACCAATATGACAGTCACATAACAAACTACCAATAAGACAGTCACGTAACAAACTACCAATATGACAGCCACATAACAAACTACCAATATAACAGTCACATAACAAACATAACACATGACAAGTTACAAGAAAATTAGTATGACAGTTTGTTTGTATTAGAGCAAAGCCACATTCGGCTATCTGCTGTGTCCACCACGGGACATCAAACCCCGTTGTAAAACTGTAAACTTACCGCTGTCCCACCGGTGAACAAATAAGACACTCTGATAAAAATTACAAGTACATTAATAAGACAATCTGGTTCTTCTCAAACTACAGTCAGGTGTTAATGGTGAGTAACAATACAAGTAAATTAATAAGACAATCTGGTTCTTCTCAAACTACAGTCAGGTGTTAATGGTGAGTAACAATACGAAATGTTGACGTCACAAAAAGAAACGAACCCTTACATTTTCACTAGTTTTTGTTAAAAACTCAAGCGGCCAGATACTGGTGAGTTGTTCCAAGAGAGAGCCGAGAAGGTGGGAAGTTCTCACCACTACTTTCTTGACAAAGGGATATTCGGAACTAATATCAACCAATGACGGGCGCCCTCTACTCCTTCCCCCAGTTAGTGTTACCCAGTAACCTTCACTTGTACTTGGTCGGATATTGTCAGGCTCTCCAGGGAGATTGTCGATGAAAATCTCTAGTACTCCTTTGAACTCTCCTTTAAGATAGTATCTTGAATGGAAAATACGGAATAAAATACTTTGTTTGCCTGTATTCAAATATTGTACACAATGATTATGTTGTAGGTACTTGAAAGATACAATTTTCATGAAAAACTTCTTGGATAAAAGTCAAAATTACACAGTGTGAACTATAAACATCACTTAATACTTAACGGCAATATTGTACGTGACGCAGTGTTTACTATAAACATCACGTAACACTTAACGGCAATATTGTACGTGACGCAGTGTTTACTATAAACATCACGTAACACTTAACGGCAATATTGTACGTGACGCAGTGTTTACTATAAACATCACTTAACACTTAACAACAACACCGTAATACAAATAACGATAAATAAAGGGTTATATTAGGCGTAACGCAAATGAGATTTTAAAATAGTAAGTTTATGACAAATAGCAAGAACAAAGGAAGGTGTTCATAAATGAATCATTTCAAAATTGCTAGCTAATTCCGCTCTGTAAATTTCTGTATCGTTATGCGAGATGACAGATAATCGTTCATCGTTTGTAAACACGTTCTTTCTCCTTGTTCTCTAACCAAATTTGTTAAACCTCGTCACGTGTTAGAATAGAAGTGAAGTTGTCAGGTGGATTAAGACGAAAAATGGAAACGTTTTGTTACTAAATTTTCTCTTTCTGAAAATAGTCTTCATTAAAGTTTGATCCAAGCAAGACACGAAATCCTGTAATATTACATCGACAACTAAAACGTCTTTTCTGTGTAAGTTTACGAAGGGCATCAAACTTAATAACACTTTATTATTGTTATATTTGAAAGTTATATATTAGTTTATTAAACAAAACTTGTTTTCTTGACTTACTTCATTATCCTAAACTTGCTCCATTCAGCAATCAGTAGAAAACTGCCATCATGAGACAGCTGTATGCCATTTGGAAAGTACATAGAGTCCACGATCACTGACGCTTGGTTTGTGGTAAGGTTAAAAGCTATTACCCTAAGTGTAAAACGGTTGTTAGTACAATGTCAAGAAGTTTCTTTTATTAACAAAAACAGTTAATATTGTCATTGGTCATATAACATGGAAAGCTTCAACTTTGTACGTGACAAGCTTTGCGACGGAACCTTCTGCAATGAAAACTATGCTACATGGATATTGTCAAGATGCACGGTCGACAGACAGAGCATGACAAGACATGAGGACTTGGACCTTAACGACATCATGAGGCTCCAAAATCGATTTAATGTAACGTACTCAACCTCTGTGTACGGTTTATTAAGAATAATCGAACACTAAAGTTTGCTTTCTGAATATTCAATCACACAAAAATCCTATTCATATAGAATAGCATGAATACCCGCTTCTTTCTCCTGCAGCTTGAGGTATGCGACGTTTAGCGGGAGGTACGACTGATGAACCCATACTCTGTTGGTCTCGTTCCAATATTGAGATTCTTCTTGATTATATTATGTGCTGTCGAATGTAACACGTGGACGGCATGTGTCATTAACTTTTGTGTTCGTGGACTCTCACCTGTTACAAAATTCCGTATTGCTTGCCACGGCTGGAGTGCAGCTTGTTGCAGATTTTATCTAGGTAGTCCTGGTACCCCAAGTTGATCCATATTTCTTTCTTTTCCAATTCCATTAAGTACAAGGGACATTTCGATCTTCTAAGTTACAAATACCCGATCAGAACGCATCTTTATGATCAGAGTGTATGAGCATTTTGCGTCGTACAGGGCTGTTACTTACCCTTTCCAAAAGCGGTCAAACAATACTATAATGTAATTCTGATACACACCGTTCCACTGCAATTTTATATCGCTTGTAGTTGCCATGTGGCTTGCTGATTTGAATATTCAAAATCGAGTGAATATAACATATTCAACCTTGTATATTACAACTGAAATTAAAAGAGACATCTTAAAATCAAATCAAGTTATTTTGTAAACAAGGTTGTTCAGCAGGTGGAACAAATAATGAGTATCTTAAAAATTTTGACACAAGTTTTGCAGCGACTAAACGGTTAGGCCATAGACAAGAAGCTCATTTTTTGATACTGGAAACGATTGTTCCCACGTGTATTCTACTGGCTAGTGTTTGTTCTCCAAGCAAACTTTTCCACGTGTTTTCAACAATGGGATAAAAACTCAGGTTCGTGGATAAGGGAGATATCACGTGAGTCACAAGGGATGAGAAAGGCAGATTGGCCCGTAACTAGTTATATACTTAAGTACGTAGAAAGATTTACGACTGTAACGCCAAAAGTTAAGTGTAATAAAACTGGGCGAGCGTAAAGATTAATAGCCCTCGTCCAAACGTAACAAGTCGAAGCCCGAGTAAAACTGTAAAAACACAGCTAGTTTTATTGATAGATATCTCAAAGACATTTACGACAGACAAATAGCCACAACAATTGTACACGTTTATATTATACACTTTTCAGTCCACTAAGATGAGATCGTGCTGAAAAAAAAAACAGGAAAATAATACACTGGTTTATTCTAAGCAAACAACAATAAGTGAAGGGTGAAAGATATATAGGAAATTAAACTAACAAGGTACTTGATTCACTGGTTATGCGTAGCTTAAGGAAAGAAACGTATAAATATGGAAACAACGACAACGTTTTTTTTTGTTTTGTTTTTTTTAATGTTCCATCAGAGGCAGAAAAGATTAGATGCTGTCACATACTGTAAATTAACCCTTTCAATTAGGATGAATTTTAGGTTATATTTTCTGGATGTCTGATATCACAGATACGAAATAGGTAATGGAATCATTATTTCTCGGTTTTAATGTTTATTTACACGAGAGACAAGAAATCTTGAGTTTTTGTACTTCTAGAAGCTTTCCTTACAGCATTTGTTTTATAAACCTGACCACAAACACCATGAATTCTCATTCATGAGAACCCTAATCTATAAAATTTTGTCAAAAAGGTCCTAGGTTCGAGCCCCTATACAGCATGGCGCTAAAACACGCTCCGCACTTTCAGTTGTGGGCGTGTTATAAAAGTGGCACTAAGTCCCATATTTCGGTTCAAAGAACCTGACAAATTTCTGGTGGCGACGGGTACTGCTCTCTTCCTGCTTTCATTTTGGGCAATAGTTCGAAATCTACCTGAATTCTGGGGGGGGTCTATGAATTAAGTGGCCGCTCAGCCAACGTGCACACTCATGCTTAAAATTCCAATTTCTTTAATTCTCTTGAAGTCAACTTATCTACAGTAAAACTTAACAATTTTCACAGCTCTCGTGATGAACTGTTGCTTCAGATTCTCACCTTCCCGAGTTTTCATGTTCCAGACAGATGAAAATGAGATCCCGAAGTGACCACCTGGTGGTAGAATCTGTAAAATAGATAACTCCTTCTTGTTCGTCGATCGCCAAATCGTCAGGCATACTGACCGCCTTACCCTCCACAACGGTCGATATTGGAAGCAACCGTTTAACAGTTCCTGTAAAACAATCAATCTCTAGGTGGCATTTTACTCTTCTCGATTTATTTTCAAAATATGAATAAGTAAAAATACAATGCGTATGATCGCTAAAAAATACATGAAAAATCTCGTATTTTTTTAATTATTTTTCCCGCAAAAACCAGCCTTTAAAAAAGACAAAATTTTACTAGTTAAAAATGATTACTCGAATTAACTGAATAATAACTGGTTACTAACTGACAAATAAACTTCTTGTTGGAAAATCTTGACTTCAATAAATAATAATTATATAACTAATTCAACCTCGAAAAATTAATAAAACGTGGAAATACTGCTTATACTAGAAAGCTTATACTAGTGAAAATAAAAATAATAATTATATAACAAATTCAACCTGGAAACTTACGAAAAAATTGAATTTATTACTTATACTAGAAAGTGTTAATTATAGATATTAATCCTTTTTCCGTTTTTTTGTGTTAATATTTCTACAGTGTTAAAACGGTAACGATAAAATCCTAATTTAATGTTTATACTGTCCAAACAGTATTTATAAAACCTAAAATGTTTCTATCTTATCCAACTTCAACAGTACGTTAATGTGTTAATAATGTATTTTTTAGAACATATGGATTCTATATAACTCCTACTCTATGTTTTTGATATTCGTTGATATAATGGATAACGTCCACAATTATTTCTTCTTCCTCACACTATATATATTTCTCACTTATCTTCAATATATTACAAAACAAATTATGTTTAAATAATATGTATATGTATGTATATATGGCAAGAAACTGTGTAATAATATATTGTTACGTCTCTGGTCGTTTCTTAATTTCCCGTATAAATTATTTCCGAAGAACTTCAGTGATACAAGTCCTTTCTTAAATAAAACTAGTTTATTCTTTGTCAATTCAACTTTGCAGTACACTTACTTTCCACAGTCACTTTAACTTAAACACACGCTAGAATTCACAACGATTCATGCACTTTACTTACGGCTTGACTCGATTATCTGTCTCTATATCTATCTGTCTGCAATTCAATTGTCACTTTATTTGCCGGCTTATATACTATAAGAGCGCGAGTCTAGCAAACGCTAGGACGTTCGACAGGTTCTTCGATCTTTCTAGATACTCATTACGTGTTACCAGAGTCACGTGACTTCCGCTGTCGTAACAATATATATGTGTGTGTATAATGGAGATAAAGACAGAGTTCTGAAAAGAAACTGTGTAATAATATATATGTGTGTGTGTGTGTGTGTATTGTGGAGATAAAGACAGAGTTCTGACAAGAAACTGTGTAATAATATATATATATATACATATATATGTATAATGGAGATAAAGACAGAGTTCTGACAAGAAACTGTGTAATAAGTAAAGACATATAGAGAGTTTTAATAATTTTCTGTTTCTTACCTGTTGTAACATCTACTTTTAGTAGTCCACAGAAGGCATCTGCTACATAAAGGTTTCCTTTGCTGTCAAATTTTAGACCTAAAGGCCTTCCTCTCGAGTTCCAAATATTTTTATGTTTCTCTCTTGGAGCTAAATGGCAAACATAAATAAACATATAGTACTTACATAAAAAGACGGTTATAATAGTTACATAAACAGACGGATGTAGTACTTACATAAATAGACGGATATAGTACTTACATAAACAGACGGATATAGTACTTACATAAACAGACGGATATAGTACTTACATAAACAAACGGATATAGTACTTACATAAACGGATGGATGTAGTACTTACATAAATAGACGGATATAGTACTTACATAAACAGACGGATATAGTACTTACATAAACGGACGTATATAGTACTTATATAAACGGACGTATATAGTACTTATATAAACAGACGGATATAGTACTTACATAAATAGACGGATATAGTACTTACATAAACGGACGGATATAGTACTTACATAAACGGACGGATATAGTACTTATATAAACAGACGGATATAGTACTTACATAAATAGACGGATATATTACTTACATAAACGGACGGATATAGTACTTACATAAACAGACGGATATAGTACTTACATAAACAGACGGATATAGTACTTACATAAACGGACGGATATAGTACTTACATAAACGGACGGATATAGTACTTACATAAACGGACGGATATAGTACTTACATAAACAGACGGATATAGTACTTATATAAACAGACGGATATAGTACTTATATAAACAGACGGATATAGTACTTACATAAATAGACGGATATAGTACTTACATAAACGGACGGATATAGTACTTACATAAACGGACGGATATAGTACTTACATAAACGGACGGATGTAGTACTTACATAAATAGACGGATGTAGTACTTACATAAATAGACGGATATAGTACTTACGTTGATATAACTGGGGAAGTATTGTTACGACAGCGGAATTCACGTGACGCTGGTAACACGTAATGAGTATCTAGAACGTTCGTGAATGCTCGAGTGTTTGCCAGACGCGCCCTCTATTTTTGTATATATATAAACCGGCAAATGAAGTGACGGCATGAGAATAATTGCAGACAGAGAGATATAGAGACAGATAATCGAGTCAAGCCGTAAGTAAAGTGCGTGAATCGTTGGAATTCTAGCGTGTGTTTAAGTTAAAGTAACTGTGGAAATTAAGTGTATTACAAAGTTGAATTGAGATAGAATAAACTAGTTTTATTTAAGAAAGGACTTGTATCGCTGAAGTTCTTCGGAAAGAATTTCTACGGAAAATTAAGAAACGACCAGAGACGTAACAGTATTTTAAAATCATGAGAAAGTTTAACTGTGCAGCACTGCAAAGACTTGAAGAAGATTTAACTTACAGAATTAATGTATAATGAAATTTCAAGTCCATCTGGTTAATCATCAAAAGAGCGAATCTTGATGCACCTTTCTATAACAAGAGCGTGCGTTTTTTTTTTCTTCCTCTTCTTCATTTTAACAATCCTTGTAAAATAACTATTACTTAATACGTCATCAACTAGTGCAGTGAAATGAACTTATTTGCAAAAAGCAAAAACAATGAAACAAAGGTTTTAATGTCCTGCTGTTAAACTTTAATTTAGTTAGACATAGCACTAAATATCTTGGTTATTTTTATTAATTTAAAACATATTGAAATTGAATTACTGATTTTTTTTATCTCTTTGTCTCAAATGTCCACTTAGCGGTAGTTGAGATTCACGTGATTTTCATGCTGCAGCCAAGTGTTGAAAAGAATGTTGAACGAGGGCATGTTTATATATCCCTACAATATTTCTATTGATTTATAACATCAAATATCTTAATTCAGTTTGCATGGCCTTCCCAGGGCGGTTTCGGGAGTTCTTACGAAACCTCCTTTTCCATGAACCATACCTTTTCCGCTGTCAAAATTGGCGACAAAATCAATGAATTTGTCTTCAATGAACAGAGTGAGAAATGTATCATTTCAACACAAACAGATTTAAGGGAGCGTCTGGTGAACGCTTATAAAGTACAGACACACACACGGTAAAAGGCGGTAAGTTATCGTGGGCAAACGTGTGATTCATTCATCAAATTGCGAGAGTTAAAAATTAGGTAATGGATGATCTCCTGCCTTGTGTAACCATAACAAATTATAGTACAATGTTTACCTAGATGCTTAAACTTTCACAGCAGGTGTATCACATCCTTCTAAGGATATACAGCCACTCTGTTCTCTCAATAAATACTGGAAGCTGTACAACATGGTATAATTTTCAGGGATTTTTTGGTACAACATGGTATAATTTTCGGGGATTCTTTTGGTACAACATGGTATAATTTTCAGATATTTTTGGTATACCAAAAAAAATCCCCGAAAATTATACCATGTTGTACCAAAGAATCCCCAAAAATTATAACATGTTGTACCAAAGAATCCACAAAAATTATACCATGTTGTACCAAAGAATCCCCGAAAATTATACCATGTTGTACCAAAAAAATCCCTGAAAATTATACCATGTTGTACCAAAGAATCCCCAAAAATTATACCATGTTGTACCAAAAGAATCCCCGAAAATTATACCATGTTGCACATATTCTATGAAAACGCTAACTTCAAGGGGTAGTGATAACATCGCTAACACTAGAATTATGATTTTATTTTAATTACTACTAGTTATTACGATTAAGCGATGACATCGTGCACTGCCCAGAAACACATAGAGTGGACTAAGGTTTAAACTGTCGTTAGTGATAAAGTGGAAACAGAGAAGAAAGATTTGGTGGGTTGGTATCTTGGTGATGGTTTCTTGTCGTGTTTTTGGACTTGGGTAAAGAAACACATGAAAGTGAGCGACAATAATCTTATAAAGTAAAACTCTCGGCCATTGTTGATTTTTAAACGTGAATATTTGTATTATGCCTATTGAGTACCTTGGTCATTCCTACATATAGAGTCTACCAACCCTATGATAACAGCTGGCTTACTGAACTACATTTATGTTTAAACCTCACCAAACTGTATGTCATATTGTTTGACAGAAGTTATGTTATCTTCTTCGATATTAGTTTTTACTTGGATGAAAACTATTCCATGCTGTACCAAAGAATTCCCAAAAATTATACCATGTTGTACTAAAGAATCCCAGAAAATTATACCATGTTGTACCAAAAAAATCCCCGAAAATTATACCATGTTGCAGAAAGACTACTGAACATACAGATGAATGGTGTTGCTTCAGTTGTGTTCATAGAATACGAG